TCACGCTGTTCCCTGCGGAGCTGCCCGGAACGTGCCGGCCGTTCCCGTGTCCCCGAGATCTTCAAGTCCCCTCTGAGATTGTGCAAATTTGAAAATGTATTGGAAAAACGCCGGGGGCTAAAGGCGGCGGGAGGGAGCGGGGACCGCGAACGGCTCTTTGCTCCCACCGACCTCTCATCCCAAATTCCGTCTCGGCTCTCCGTAACCCAAGGCAGGCAGAAAGCCGCCCGCCATCAGATAACGTGCTTGGGTTTTGGTTTTGGGTTTTTTTTTTTAATGACTGGTTAAAGGGCTAATAACATCTTGAGGAAAATGAGCTCTGCTATTTTTAGGACCCGCCGGTTGGATGAGTATTAACGAGCGCTTTCGCGAACGTGTTGGTTTGGTTGTGGGACGGGGACGGGGTCGCTACCCCCAAGAGATCGTTGCGGCTCCGTGTTGCTTTTCTTCTCTTTCCACCCCGTCTTGAAGCTCTTTTTATGAAGATTGGAGCCCGGATTGCCTGCGGTACGCTCCCCTTCCCTAATTAAACGGGAGCAGCTCTGCGTATCGCCCTTGGATTGACCCTTGGCCACCGCCAAAGCCCGTCACCCATAATATCAGCCGTAAATACCCGACTCTGGGAATTTATACATCCCCTCGGCTTAAAAATACTTGCGATCCTGCACTGGATACCCAGCCTATCGCTGCCGCAGCGCGGTTGCCGGACAGCGATGCCACGTCACGCTCCCTTTGACGGCAGCAGCAGCGCCGGAGTGAGATGAACCCGCTGGCCTGAGTCCTGCAGGATGAAGATTTCTCTTCACCCGAAAGCAAACGGCAAGGTTGCGGGGCAGACGCACGGCCGATGTGACCTCGTCGCACCCCATCCTCGTCTAAAAAGCACCCAAAGCCGGTTATAAACCGCTGCCGGTCTCGTAGCGGGACGCCGTGCCGCGGCGATGGAGGGCAGGAGCAGGCTGGGGTGGATGCAGGTTTAATAACGGATTTAGTAAAAGGCGATGGGGATGGCGGTGGCGTCGCCGCGGTCCCCGTTTGTGACGCTTTGCCTGTCCCTGCAGTCATCCTGAC